CATCCCGTACGGGCAAACAGATACTGACAGGAAGGCTCAATGAACTACCACAGTGCTGTGGAGCGCCATGGTAGTTCATTGAGAACTACAGGCTGACAGCCGCAAAAACTGCTGGGACTTCTTCTGAGTTTTCTCATTTACAGTACACTGTGAATGAGCGATGTGGTCGTGCAGCCACAGCCCCGCATTTTTAAAAAATTGTGAAAGGTAGCGTGGAGGGGAAGATCCCCCCACTAGCTGTCACAACAGGGATCAGGGGGTGCGGGGGCCGGTCCGGTCCTAACACGTTACACCCTGAATATGGACATAACATGTTACGGAAGGTGAACTTATACTTCAAGCTTTTATAAACTGTGACTATAGAGGTATAGAAGATGCATTTAGCAGATGATTCCACCCAGCAGAACCTCCTCCCAGCCCTGTTTTACTGTATGTTTTTCAAATGTGAACTGGTGGCCCATGATTCACCCAACGGTGACTATAAACCACGTGGATAAATCGCCCTCAGGCAGCATTAGACGTCTATGCACACAGACACAGAGCACTGATCCAATCCGAAAAGCTTGGTACCATGTGATCACTCTGATTGGTCATCACATCAACCATGTGCTATTGTTTACATGATGATCCCGCCCCCTCCTTTTACAGAGAGATCATAGGAACATGTGAATGAGGAATCACTGAATAGATCAGAAGCTGCAGATTCAGTTTCATGGACACTGGGATTGTTTGTTAAGCCTTTCAAAGCCAGCCCCCCTCCCCTTCCTGCCACATACACTTCCTCTCCTACATATTTGATTTGATCCAGTGTTGTCTCTGTATATTAACCCCTCACTTCCCTTATCCTGTACATCTCTACATTAACCCCATATCTGTCTTCTATATTAACCCCCTCATCTCCATCCAGCTGCCCACCCCATACCTTACTTCTACATTAACCCTTCATCTCCATTCAACTTCCCACCCCATACCTGACTTCTACATTAACCCCATCTCGTACCTGACTTCTACATTTATACATTAGCCCCTTCATCTCCATCTAACTCCCCACCCCGTACGTGACTTCTACATTAACCCCCTCATCACCATCCAACTCTCCACCCCATACCTGACTTCTACATTAACCCCTTCATCTCCATCCAACTCTCCACCCCATACCTGACTTCTACATTAACCCCTTCATCTCCATCCAACTCTCCACCCCATACCTGACTTCTACATTAACCCCTTCATCTCCATCCAACTCTCCAACCCATACCTGACTTCTACATTAAACCCTTCATCTCCATCCAACTTCCCACCCCATACCTGACTTCTACATTAACCCCTTCATCTCCATCCAACTTCCCACCCCATACCTGACTTATACATTTATACATTAACCCCTTCATCTCCATCCAACTCCTCACCCCGTACCTGACTTATACATTAACCCCATCTCGTACCTGACTTCTACATTTATACATTAGCCCTTCATCTCCATCTAACTCCCCACCCCGTAACGTGACGTCTACATTAACCCCTCATCACCATCCAACTCTCCACCCCATACCTGACTTCTACATTAACCCCTTCATCTCCATCCAACTCTCCACCCCATACCTGACTTCAACATTAACCCCATCTCCATCCAACTCCTCACCCCGTACCTGACTTATACATTAACCCCTTCATCTCCACCCAACTCCTCATCCCGTACCTGACTTATACATTTATACATTAACCCCTTCATCTCCATCCAACTCCTCACCCCGTACCTGACTTATACATTAACCCCTTCATCTCCATCCAACTCCTCACCCCGTACCTGACTTATACATTAACCCCTTCATCTCCATCCAACTCTCCACCCCGTACATGACTTCTACATTAAACCCCTTCATCTTCACCCCCTTGGGTCTTTTTTACCTACTTATAGCAAAAGTAAAAAATGGCCTGCAATGAAGGGCTATTACTGTCACTCAAGTGGTTGAAGTGTATCATTAGGCAAAAATGTTTTTTTTTTTTGGGGGGGGGGGGGGGGGGGGACAGAGCAGGAAAGGGTTAGAGTCTCTGTCAAACTTTTATTGTTGACTTTGTTCCCTTTGGGGAGATTCACTCCTCCTATTTGTACTGGTGACTTATCACTGGAGAAAGAAAATTAGAGGAAAACCAAAATGTCAGAGTTGTCCCCAGGACAAGAGGTGAGAGGAAATCTACCAATGGGGACACCTGTTTCTGGTGACAATCAGAGATGAGCTCAGGTGTTTCTGGACTAGGACCTGAACCCAGCAGGATGTAGACACCTGTATGAACCAATCATCTGAGGCCGGGGCATTCCTCCCCCCACAGCCACACATATACAGTACATGACCCTTTTTCATGTTTCACTGCGGGTGGGTAATGCCTCAACCACAGATTATAAGTTCATACGGGTGACTACATCCGGGTGGGTTCAGGTCCTAGTCCGGACACGCCTGAACTCATGACAGCTGTGGATGAAGGAATTCCCTTCTCCATGGGAGATTTCCCCTCCAACTTCCTGTTGCATCTCTAGGACAGGAAGTAAAGGAAAATATCTCCAGTAGAACACAGACACCGAAAAAATAACCAGCCAGGGGTGTTAACCCTTCTCTACTCTATCCAATACTAACAAAAAAAAGTTTTTACTTTACATCTAATTTACCTGAGTTTTTATTTATGGATGATCTGATCCTAATTCAAGACCATCAGGCCTCTCGCTGAAAGTGCAAATACACTTTAACCAGCTCCATACTGCCATACGTATATATATGCGGCGTTATATTAAGCTGCGTATTCTGGGATCATGGTTGAGGTTACAAGCATGATCCTGGTACCATTTTCTTCAGTAAGTGATCCCAGTGTGACGTGTTTGGTATCTATTTACTCAGCGTAACATCATCTTTAATATTTTACAGGAAAAAAAAAAAAAAAAAAGGTTATTATATTGTTTTTGTATGCACTAAAATGTATTAATGGCTAAGTTCATATTTGGTCACCACTGGGTTTCTTATTTTTTGCACTATAAATGAAAAAATTTATTTTGGAAAAAAAAAAACAAACAATATTTTTTATTTTCTGCTATAAAATATATTTCAATTAAAAAAAATAAAATTTCTTCATAAAATTTAGACAATATGTATTCAGCTACATATTTTTGGTAAAAACAAAATCCCAATAAGTGTATACTGATTGGTTTGCACAAACGTTATAGCATCTACAAACTATTGGATACATACTGGAAATTTTTTTTTTTAACTTTTATACTAGTATTGGTGGTGATAAGCAACTTATAGCGGAACTGCGATATTGTGGCGGACAATCGAAAAAAAAAATGGGTATTATAACACTAACTAGCGCTTTGTGGTAACCAGTGACACTAATCAGTGATAAAAAATATACACTGACACTACTAATGACACTGACTGGGAAAGGATTAAATATCTAGAGTGATCAAGGGGTTAACTGTGTGTGCGGTTTTTCACTATATAATGTGCCGGGTTCTATTCCCTGCCTTGCCAGCATATTATTATTATACAAGATTATACAGGATATTTCGACTGACAGAACACAGCTCCTAGGCAATCCACGGGTGCCGGCACTCATCCATTGGCTGGCACCCGTTGATCAACTTCTACTGCGACCAATCACAGCAGAAGCGGCGCACCTGGAACCAAGGAGTGCAGAATCATGTTTATATACTTAATCCTGCACAGCGTGGCTGCCCTGTAGCAGTATATTATTATTACATATGTATATAGAGCCAACAGTTTGCTCAGCGCTTTACAATGTAACAGGAGACAATACAGCAACAATACAGTTCAATACAAGAGGGTTAGGAGGGCCCTGATCCTGGGAGCTTACAATCTAATAATATCTGCTATGCGGCAGCCGTGAAATGGTTAAAGTGTAGTTTGCGTTTGAAAAACCGCTGTGCAAATATCATGTGACTTAAAAAAAAATTGCAACACCCACCACCACTTCAAAGACATGCTAGTAGGTGAATTGGCTCCTGTTTAATTTGTCCCTAGTATGTGTATGTATGAATGTAAGTTAGGCACCTTAGATTGTACACCCCTTGAGGGTTAGGGACTGATGTGAATGTACAATATATATGTAAATTGATGGAGTTATATAAGTATGTGTAATAAATAAAATATATAAAAATAAAATGTTATTCTCCAGCGCCTCTGCTTAAAAATATATATATAATATTTGGGGGTTCTAAGTAATTTTCAAGCAAAAAAAAAAAAAAGGAAGATTTTTACAAGCAGGAGAGAAATGTCAGAAATGGCTTGGGGGGGTCACGTGTTTAAAGCCCAACTCCAGGCACAATACACAATGTTAGGGTCGATCCCCTTACCACCCCCCACATCCTGGATATATTCTTTGTTTACATCTCCTTCTGTACTCCTGACCCCCTTGGATGTTAGCTCTGCAGTCTCCGCAGCACTATGGTCGTGTATCCGCCTCCATCTCCTCCTGGCCATTCACAAAGCAGAGTCTGGGGCTGAGTGCGCTGTGAATGGCCAGAAGGAGAGGGAGGCGTAGACAAGAGGGTAGCACATGTAAACAAAGCCAGCATGGGGTGTGGGTGCGCTTTGTGGCAGAGATCACAGCAGCTGCTAAGCAGGCGGGCTGAGTGATTGCAGAGAATCACAGGTCTCCATCTAATGGCTGAGCCACCAACTGCTGAGATTTCATACAATAAATATTGTCTTCCTGGTAGATTATACTCCAATATACATATATCTGGGGGACAGAAAGGCTCCCCTCCCCCCACAGGCTGTATACTGGGCTCTATACCAAAATACAGCACCCGGTCCTGTCACCTTGTATCCTCCCCACACAAACATCCGGGTCCCGTCACTGACGGCCACGTGACCGCTGCGCTCTGCCGGGACGCTGTCATCCGCCGGGCTCTCCGCGTCCTCCTCTTCGCCGTCTTCTTCGTCCTCCTCCTCCACATCCGCGGGGGCCTCCTCGTTCTCATCCGCCATCCCTAAACTCCAGAATCGTCACCGCACTGTTAGAAGTCCCTGCGTTGTGCGTCATGGCCGTACTGCGAGATCACGGAGCCGCCATGATGGATGAGGGCACGTGGGAGGGGCAACGCAGCGCCAACAGGTGGCAAGTCGCGGTACTGCACTGCATTATTACAGTAACTGGCACTAGAGCAGTGCTTGTCTTGATATGGAGGGGGAGGGGGTGTGAACCCCACTAATAAACAAAATACAAATAAAATACATTTTAAAACAGATATGCTTTCTTTTGGTCTGACAGTATTTTGAGATATCTAAAGTGTCAAAAAATTGGACCAAGAATGACAGCTGGCTTCTAGGTTCAGACATGAACCCAGATCCAAACAAGTGCAAGTTCATCCCAAGTGCAAGTTCATCCTAAGTGCATTACTTTTCTTTTTTCAGTCTCTTTTAACCCCCTACCACCCAGTCACTTTAACCCCTTGAGCACGGAAAAGGTTTTACCTCCCCCCCACCTTCATGACCAGGCCGCTCCTTGCTATTCGGCTCTGCTCTGGTAATTGCGCAGTCATACACACCGCTGTACGCAAATTAAGTTTATCATTTTTTTCAAACAAATAGAGCTTTATTTTGGTGGTGATTTATAATTAATGGGTTTTTTATTATATAAACAATAAAATATATTAGAAAAAGACCAAACATTTAGATTTTTTTTTACTTTCTGCTATAAAACATACAGTATAAATAAAAAAAAAAAATTATATATCAAATTTCTTCATAAATTATGAAGGTATGTTTATTGGTTTGTATGAAGGTTATAGTGTCTACAAATTATGCTATATATACTGGAATTTTTTTTTATCTACTAGTAATGAATCAGTGATTTATAGTGGGTCTGTGATAGTGTGGCGGGCAATCTGACACTGACCAAAACTGACATCACCAGTGGCACAGGGATTAATGATAATACTATACACTGTCACTGTACTTATGACCCTAGCTGGGAAGGGGTTAACATCTCAGGGTAATCAAGGGGTTAAGTGTGTGCCTAACAAGTGTTATGATGTGTGCTTCTTTTTACTAAAAATCTGTTTCTTCTCCCTGCTTTGCAGGGAGAAGAAACAAGGAGATCGTTCCCTCTGTACAGAGCACTGTGTTGTTTGTCAACACAGAGTTGTGGGCTGTGATTGGACAGAGCTGACTGGCATGTCACGGCCATGAATCATTGGACAGGACCTGTTGATGGTCCTAAAATGGTTAAAAGGGTCTTTATGCGGAGTGAGCACATTCTCAGCACAGAAACTACCTTGGAGGCCTATGAATGAAGTGTGATCGTTAAAGCCCACTCTCGTTGCTGTCACACATACACATTATCACATGATGTGAGCAGCAAGAGGTTCACTTTTTTTTTTTACCTGGTGATTATGCTAGTGACATACTTCCTGCTTAATACAAGGTGACAACACTTACTGTACTGTATCTATGGAGAAACAGTGTTGTCACCCCAGGATGGTAAGTGATTTAAAACTACAAAACACCCAGTGGCATCACTAGGGTTGGTGTCACCTGGTGCTGTAAAACATGGTGTCACCACCCCCCAATAATTTTTTTTATCATATAACATAGACACTGGGCAGGCTAGCGCATTGGCCCCTCTCCTGTCTAGCTTGCCACAGTGAAGTGAAAAAATTCTGCGCTACATGAAACAATGGTACAAACCATTATATAGCCAAAAAACAAAGTGAAGAAATAAATATATTTCAGAAGAAAAAATAGTAGAAAAAATATTAATATTGAAATAAAAACATAAAAAAATTTATATAAAAAACAAAAACCACACAAAAAAATAAAGAATATTTTAAGTATGAATCAAATAAAAGTCATTCAAAAAAATCAAGTTCAATCAATAAAGTGTTCATTCAGTGAACCCTTCTTTGGATAATGAAACATATGTGCATCTGTCATCAATTCCCGTGCAAAGACATCCTCCACCATATATCTGCTCACCTCACGCAGTGTGACCTCACATTATACAATGCTACTGTCTAACTGCACTTTTGGTCCCATATGGACTCAGAAGATCAGCTTGCTGAATGAAGACTCCAAAGTAAGCTCCCTCCTGATAAGCGTCTTTGTATCAGCCGTATTCCTCATTAAAAAGAACTCAACATAGTGCTTTATCCTTTTATTCATCAATTAAACATATGAAATACACTGATGTTCCGGAGGTGTAGTTTGCACCAGGTATGATGAAGATCCAGTGATGTACTGATTAGACACATGGTGGCAGTATCATCTCAGCAGCAGAGTCCTGTACATGCTCAAAACAGACACCATCCGTAATGTAATGCAAGGCATTACATTATGAATTGATTGTCAAACGGTCCAATCGTAGCCCCTTGATAAAGTCACGTGACTGGTGACAAAACGCGTCGGTGAAGAGTGTGCGGATGACATCACGACATTCATCGGGATAGCGTCCTGTAGTACTCTACAATTGGCTCTAGGAACGACATTACAGAGGCAATAGCATTCATTCAGTGGGCCCGTGCTTTGCCTTGCATTACGGATGGTGTCTGTTTTGAGCATGTACAGGACTCTGCTGCTGAGATGATACTGCCATCTAGTGTTTAATCAGTACATCACTGGATCTTCATCATACCTGGTGAAATATACACCTCCAGAACATGAGAGTGCTTTTTCCTTTTTTCTATTTCAATGGTTTTTATTAAATTTTAAACTGTATAAACAGAGGCAATAAAACACGCCCACGCAGGGGCTATCAATTGCACAGATAAACAATATGCAAAATAAAAAAAAAGGAAAAACAAATGCTCTAATGCCAACAGGGCAAAAGGTACGCCCACGCAGGGGCAATCAATGGCACATAAGTTACAAAACAGTAATGTAACTGGTTATAACAACTAAATGCAGCTGCCCAGTCACACCAAAAACAGAGAGAGAGAGAAAAAAGAAAAGAGAGAAAGAAAAGAAAGGGAAAAATAAAAAAAAAAAAAAGGGGGTGGGGGCAAAGAGCAGGGATTCAAGAGCGCCAATACCGAACGCCATTACATCCCCAGACTAGCCGGGGGGAGTGAGGGAAGGGCATATTGCAACCACGGCTCCCATATTTTCAAAAATTTACGTTGGGAGTCGTTGCGGATACTCGACATCTGTTCGTTGAGCATCATAGTGGTCATACGATCCCGCACCCCCTGAAGAGGGACAAACGGACTCTTCCAGGCCTGAGCAATTGTTCTAGTGGCGGATAAAAACAGATAGGAAGCCAACTTCTGCTGGTGAGCTAAGAGGCCCGGTATGGGGCAATGAAGCAAGGCATACCGAGCATCCCGGCGTATGGAGAGATGGAACAAGGTGAAAAGGAGGCCAAATACACGAGACCAAAAACGAAACAGTCTCGGGCATGACCACCAGATATGTAATACATCACCACGATGACTACAACCCCGAAAACATTGATCACTACAGGCAGGGTTAGCCCGGGCCAGCCGAGCCGGAACCCAGTACCAACGAAACAATACCTTATAGGCTGCCTCCAGTGTGGTCGTATTAAATGAGCATTTAGCTATGAGTGACCAGGCCTTATTCCAGTCCTCCGGATCCACAGCCACTCCCAGGTCGCGCTCCCACTGAACAACATATGAAAGTGAAGTATGCGACGAGCGTCTGTTCAGAGCTGCATAAAGAAGGGATATAAGGCCCGGAGCGCCCGGACGCAGTTGGCAGAGCTGTTCAAAGGCAGATTTCTGGTACGGGAACGCAGAAGTACCCCGCAGCGAGAGCAGCCAGTGTCGCAATTGAAGATATCGAAAAAATTCCGCCGGGGGGGATATTCCGGGATTCCCGAAGAGAGTCCCAGGTGGGAAAGGACCGAAAAATCAAAAAGTGTCGCACCTGCGAAAAACCATTAGTCACCCACCAAGAAAACGCCCCTGGGTGATCCAAACCCGGCGGGAAAAGAGGGTTGTTAATAATTGGGAGCAAAGGCAGAAAAGGTGACATCAGACCACCAGAGTAACGCACCGAGTCCCAAACTTGTAGGCCATGAAGTAACATCGGACTCAGTGCCATAGGGCGCAGGGCAGGGGGAAGCCATAGAAGCGTCGATAGTGCGATAGGGGCACAATTAGGTAGTTCCAACAGGACCCAGAGGGGGACGTCGGAAGAGGCGTGCAACATAGACAGCGGGGCAATCTGGCTTGCTTGATAATACTTAGTCACATTAGGCACCCCAAGACCACCCTGAAGTCTATGGGCAAAAAGCGTACTTTTGGATACTCTGGGGTGCTTATCGGCCCAGATAAAACGCATTAACTTCGCCTGAAGCAACCGAAGAAAATGAGGGGGAACCCGCACCGGGAGTGTGCGAAAATAATACAACAATTTCGGCAAGATGGTCATTTTCACCGAATTAACCCGTCCTATCCAAGACAGGTGCGGAAATTGCCAAGAATGCATAAGAGAGGATAGAGAGCTAAGCAATGGATAGTAATTCGCAGCAAACAAGGAGTCATAAGTGGGGGTCAAGCGAATGCCTAAGTATTCAAGAGAAGAGGAAGCCCATTTGTAGGGGAAGTGGGATTGTAGGCGCGAAACCAAATCTGAAGCCAAAGTAATATTGAGGGCGACAGTCTTATCCAAGTTGATACGGAGACCCGAAATCAAGGAGAAGCGCTCAAGAACCTGTTGCAAATTAGGAAGCGTCGTCAGGGGGTTAGTAAGAGTCAGGAGGGCATCATCCGCAAAAAGGTTCAGTTTGAATTCCTGTCCCGCGTAAGGAACCCCCGATACATTGCAATCGGTCCGAAGCGCCAAAGCCAACGGCTCAAGCGCCAGGACAAAGAGCGCTGGGGACAGAGGGCAACCCTGTCTCGTCCCTCGCCCAATAGGAAAGGGATCTGAAAAATACCCAGCGTATTTGACGGAGGCCGAAGGAGAAGAATACAAGGCCTGAATCCACTTTTTCCTTTTTAAACTTTTATTCATCAATTAAACAT